TTTGCGGTAAGATCGGTCACTCCACTCCCCGCTGTTTTCGTCGCCTGGACGACCTGTTTCGTCAGCGCTTTGGCCCGTCGCCCGACCTCCCGTACTGGCACAGTTTGCTTAGTCGTCAGATTCAGATTTTTGACATACACATGGATGCAATTGTTTCTGCTCTGCATGTGATGTATGCTGATGACTCTAGTGTGCTTCCCGCTTATTACTCACTGTCGGCTAGTGTAGGTGTGCCTAGCTTAGCCTCCCCTGCTGCGTCAGGCGTAGGATCCCCTGCCTTGTTTAGTCTTGGTGCTTCCGCCGTCGTTCCGTCGCCAGACGCCACTGCTTCGCTTTCCTTCACCTTGGACTCTGGCGCTTCCCGGTGCTTCTTCCGCGACTTCACGACGTTGACGCCGCTTCCTGTTCCTGCTGCCGTTTCTCTTGCTGACCCCTTCGGCGGTCCGGTAGTCGCTCGCAGTTCCACCACCCTTCCCTGTCCGGCGGTTCCTTCGGGCTCTCTTACAGGTCTGCACATCCCCTCGTTCTCCAGGAACCTAGTTGGTGTCGGCTGCCTCCAGGACCTTGGCGTCACCACTACGTTCCCTGGTCACGAGCGGTATGCTGTCTGTACCGATGCCGCCACTGGTGCCCCCCTGTCCACGTTCCCTCGGGACCCGGTGTCCGGCCTGTTCACACTGGACACCGTGACCCCCCCGGCCGGGGCGCCCCCTCAGGTGGTTGCGTCTACCCAGGTTGCTGCTGCCTGCTCCTGTCGGTCCCTCACTTACCCGACTCTCCTTTGGCACCACCGCCTAGGTCACCCTGCGCTCCCGCGACTGCGTCACATGTCCCAGCACGGGCTTGTCCTTGGTCTCCCAGGTTCTCTTCCCGCGTTTCCCTCCTCCCCAGCCCCACCTTGCACGCCTTGTGTCGAGGGTCGGCTTCGTCGTGCCCCTCACTCCTCCTCGTTTCCCCCTACCGCCGCGCCGCTGCAGACCCTGCACCTGGACGTCTGGGGCCCCGCCCCCGTCCCTGGGCCGCGTCGCGAGCGGTACTTCCTTGTGCTTGTCGACGACTTTACTCGTTACACCACAGTCTTTCCCCTGGAGCGCAAGGCCGACGTGCCTGGCGCTCTCATCCCCTGGCTTGTCTCTGCGCGTGTCCACCGCGGTCTCCCTGTCTTGCGTCTTCACTCCGACCGTGGTGGCGAGTTTGCCTCAGGTGTCCTTGGTCGCTTTTGTCGTGCGGAGGGCATCACCCAGACGTTCACCCTACCAGACTCCCTACAGCAGAATGGGGTCGCTGAGCGACGCATCGGTTTGGTCATGGAAGTGGCTCGCACCTCCATTATCCATGCCGGTGCACCCCATTTTCTGTGGCCGTTCGCTGTGCGCTACGCTTCTCACCAGCTTAACTTGTGGCCGCACCCTCAGCAGCCGCAGGTTTCGCCGACCCCTCTTTGGACTGGGTCTCCTGGTGACGCGTCTGCGTTCCACGTCTGGGGCTGCCTCGCTCACGTCCGTGCCTCCGGCACGGACAAGCTCACTGCCCGCACCCTTCCCTGCGTCTTCCTCGGTTTTCCCCTTGACGCGTCCGACTGGCACTTTTACCACCCGCCGTCTCACCGCTTCTTTCACTCTCGCGACGTCACCTTTGACGAGTCCGCCTCCTACTACCGTCGCTTCCCCCATCGCGGTCCCCCGGTTACCCCCCCCCTGTTCCTGGTCCCTCCTTCCCCGGTAGTCCGTGCCCCTCCTCCTCCTCCTCCCTGTCCTGCCCCCTCTGGTGTGTCCCACGTCACCCCTCGTCCGTCGGTGGACCCGGTTGAGGAGTCTTCTGACCCTAGTGGCCCTGCTGCGCAGTCCTCGCCGGCCGCCCCTCCCCCGGCGTCCCCTCCGCAGTCCCCTCCTCCACCGCCTCTGCCGCCGCTGCAGCCGTCGTTGTCGCTGCCGCCGCCGCCGCCGCCGCCGCCGCCGCCACCGTCGTAGCACCCGTTCGCTGCCTCTGGGGGTGCTCGTCCCGGTCGCCCTGGGGGTGGTCCCTCTGGGGGTGCTGGTGTGGAGTGTGCCGGTGGTAGCCGAGAGGCCGCTTGCAGTCCCGGTATCGCCGTTGTGCCGCCGCAGCAGCAGTCCCCGCCGGTGTCAGCCCTTCGCCTGCTCGGCCTTCCGTCCCCTGACCCTGCGGCTGTTCCTCTCCGACCATCTCCTCCTCTTCCCGTCTACGGCCATGTGTTCCCTCCGCCGGACTCGTCCCCGGCCCGTCTTCCCCCTCGTTCCCCTTCTGTGTCCCCTCCCCTGTCTCCTGACCCGACTCCTCCGTCGCACGTCTGGTCTCACCGTCCCTCCCGTGCTCGTCCTGCCTCGCCTGTCTTGCGCTCCCACCCTATGTTGCTTCGTTCCCATACGTCTCGTCCTCCCCTTCTGCTAACGCCTCCTCCGTCCTCCCTTGTTGTTGCACCCCCCCCGCTGTCTGACTACCTTCGTGCCGCTCGTCCTCTTGTTCCTCGGGTCCTTGCCTCTCTCGTTACCGACCCGTCTATTCCGGTCTCGTGCCTTGACGCTCTTGTCGCTGCGGTCGCTGACTTCGCCTCTACCCGCCGCCTTGACTACGCCACAGCTCTGGTCTCTGACCCTGCCTGTCCTCCGTCTGTCGGGGGTGCTCCTGCCCTTGGCAGTGACGTCCTGGAGGACCGCCAGTTCGAGCTTGCTTTCCTCTCCGAGGCTGCTCCCCATCTCTGTTCCATGCTGCTAGTCCCTGAGGGTGACCCAGACGCTTTCGACATCCCGACCCCTCGCACTTACGCTGAGGCGACCTCGAGACCTTGGGCCTCTCAGTGGATAGCTGCCATGGAGCAGGAGATGGCATCTTGGAGATCCACCGGCACCTTCGTCGACGCAGTTCCCCCGCCTGGGGTGAACGTAGTCGATGGCCGCTGGCTCTTCAAGGTGAAGCGCCCTCCTGGAGAGCCGCCTGTGTTCAAGGCGCGCTACGTGGCTAGAGGCTTCAGTCAGCGTGAGGGGGTGGACTTCTTCCAGACCTTCGCTCCGACCCCGAAGATGACTACTCTTCGGGTTCTGTTACACCTAGCTGCTCAGCGTGACTACGAGCTTCACTCCCTCGACTTCTCCACTGCCTTCCTTCAGGGCAGCCTACACGAGCAGGTCTACTTGCGTCGCCCTCAGGGCTTTACTGGCACCTTCCCTCCTGGGACCCAGTGGCTCCTCCGGCGCCCCGTCTACGGCCTGCGCCAGGCTCCCCGTGAGTGGCACGACACTCTCCGTGCTACTCTTGCTGACCTGCAGTTCTTTCCGTCTTCCGCAGACCCCTCACTCTTCGTTCGTGCTGGCCAGACTCCGTTCTACATCCTTGTTTACGTCGACGACCTGGTCTTCGCCACAGCAGACAGGGACGCACTGGCCTCCGTGAAGGCAGAGCTGCTGAAGAGACACACGTGCACTGACCTTGGAGAACTGCGCCGTTACCTTGGCTTGCAGATCTCCAGGGACAGAGCAGCGCGCACCATCACCCTGACTCAGTCACACTTGGTGCGCCAGGTCCTTCAGAGGTTCAGCCTTCAGTTCTCCTCTGCACAGCCCACCCCTCTGCCTGTAGACCACAGACTCTCCGCTCCAGTGTCTGAGGAGTCGGTAGAGCCCAGCGGCCCCTACGCAGAGCTGGTGGGTTGCCTCATGTACCTGATGACTTGCACTCGCCCAGATCTCGCATACCCTCTCAGCATCCTGGCTCGCTTTGTGGCCACAGGCAGACACCGACCGCAGCACTGGTCTGCCGCTAAGAGGGTTTTGCGTTATCTTGCTAGTACATCGGGCATGGGGTTAGTGCTAGGAGGACGTAGGCCAGTGGTCCTTACTGGACACACAGACGCTTCGTGGGCAGACGACGCCGAGACACTAAGGTCTTCCCAGGGCTACTGCTTCAGCCTTGGTTCAGGTGCCGTCTCTTGGAGAGCTACCCGCTCCTCGTCTGTTGCTCAGTCCAGCTGTGAGGCCGAGATCTACGCTGGTGCCATGGCGGCACAGGAGCTCCGCTGGCTGACCTTCTTGCTCACTGACTTAGGTGAGCGGCCTAGCTCTGCCCCGGTCCTGTTCGTTGACAAAAGGGCCATGATCCTCCTGTGTCAGGAGCCTCGACTCGAGCGCAGAGCGAAGCATATTCAGCTGCGGTACTTCCTCCTGCGTGAGCTACAACAGCGACGCCAGGCTCGCGTAGTACACTTGGCCTCCGGTGCCAACACAGCTGATATCTTTACGAAGGCGCTTGCGCCTAAAGATCATCAGCGGCACTGTGTACAGCTTGGTTTAGTTCCTGTAGCCTCTCACTTGCTAGGGCCTTGACTTTGTACTGTCCTTTATATGTGTACTCAGACTGGACTTGTGTCCTCTTCCAGTGGCTGGACTAGTAGTGCCGCCCTGGCCTTGTTCTTGCCTTGTCTGTACTCCTTCTGACTGGTCTTTTAGACCCTTGTCTCAGAGGTTGGACTAGTAGTGCCGCCCTGAGCTGCTTGTTTAGGACATTCCCCTATGCAGTCTAGGGGGTGTGTCAAACATGTGTAGTCATTATGTTTGTATAGACTGTATAGGGTCACCTCTTAGAGGGTACAATTCTTAGGTATGTCTTTCTGTACTCTCTCACTAGTTATCATTCACTACTCTCATTCTGATACAAATATACCCTGTGTAAACAGTGCTGCAAAGAGGTTTACCCTGAAAAATCAGACTACCCTAAGTTACGTACCCTGTGTGACAAGGTGTTTCGGTGGGGCGACCCTGTTTTCAAAGGGCGGCCCAAAACCAATTTTGGGTCCTGATGCCAAGCCCAAGTAGTAAGAGATCATTAGGGAAGCAGAGTTCGGTGGACGAGGCTGAGGAGGTTATGCAGGACATTTATTGACGTGTAGTGTACAACAGTTTAAAAATCAGCGTAAAACAAATTAGTGACTCTGATTTATCAGACAAAAAATATATTGTTACTCTGATTTTTCAGACACTATTTCAGAGGCGAGTCTGATGGCCATACCAAGGGATGGGATGGGAGGCAAGTCTAATGAATCAGACACCTCCAAAACCAATTTGGGGGCCTGGTTGTACTCCCTAAGGCACAAGCCTAAATAGTCTACTGTAACATACAATATATGCTTGTATGTTTGACACAATCGGCTACAAGATACAAAGTACCAGTATAACTAAACAGTGGAAGGGTTCAGACTAGTAAAACGGAGAGAACTCAGATCATTTCTTCCTCGGTTTTTTAGGAGCCTTGCCCTTTCCCTTCTTCACTGCCTCGACCTCCTCCACCCCATCCAAACTTGGTCCCTTCTCACCCCCACCTCCAGCCACAGCAGCCCCCTCTCCACCATCACCACCACCATCCTCACCAGAAGCCGCCGCTGCTGCACCCCGTTTCCCAGACCCAGTCGCTCCTTTCTTTCCTGCACTTCCCCCAGCCACAGCCCCTCCAGCCCCCCCTGCAGCAGCAGCAGCAGCAGCCCCTGCAACAGCTCTGCTGGAAGCTGCCCCTTGAGCTTTACTGGCTCCTGTCTGCTCCATGGCACTCCCTTTGTGACTCGCTCCGTTCACCCCACTCAGCCCATGGGCTCCATTCGCCTTCTTTGGCCCTAACGTGCTTGCACTGCCAGCACCGCCTGATGTCCTGCCCTTGACTGGAGGCCTTTGGGCGGTAGAGGAGGATCCCCCCGCCATGGACGCTTGAAGGTCGCTGCTGTCCTGAATGCTCACTCCTACGTCCTCGTCTGTCTCAATCCCCAGCTCCTCCTGAAGCCCACAGCAAGGCGGCGAAAAGGCAGAGGATCAAGAGGAAGCTGAGGTGAAGATAGGCAGAGGACAGCAATGAGTGGCACATGGAAACGCGTACATGGAAAGACTGATGCAGAGAGTAAGGGAGACCCTAGACACAAACAAGCGTGGAAACGAGCTGATGGCTGTGCACGAGGGCAATGGCCTGTGTGAGGGCCAGCAGCAGAGAGAGAGGCAAGCATGAATGAGTTCATGCGTGCAGGCATGCCTCCGGGCGTGCGGGCGCGCATGCGTGCAGGGAGTGACCTGAAATTCCTTGAGGTTGCGGGACATGCCATCGGTGACGGTGGAGAAGAAGACATTGAACAGCCTCTTGCGCTGCTCCCGTGCACAGAGCACAGCACAGAGCGCAGGGCAGAGAACGGGGGATGAGGGAGAAAGAGAGAGAGAAATGGCATGAAGACGGAGAGCGGAAAGAGGGGGGGGTCTGTGTAATCCGAGGAAGAGCATGAAGCACAATGGTTTGACTGGTTGGGGTCACGGACGACACCAAGTGGCAATGCAGCATACCCAGGGAAGGAAGACATGACCTACATGACCTGACCACATGTACACATGCCAATCAGGTACCAACGCCCATTTTATACCCATCCTACTCCAATCCCAAATCCCTCCAAAAACCTGCCCTTCGTGTCCTCTCCCATATTCACTCTCCCTTTCTTCTTCCCACTTCCCTCCCACCCCGCTTTTCCTGCATCCCCCTCGCACCTTCCGCCAAAGCCCCATGAACCGCTGGTACTGCTCCTCTGCCTGCTGCCGTTGCGATGACGTGATCTGGTTGCCGCCATCCCTCAGTACCTCCAGCCTCGCCTCCATCGCTGCGTTCTGAATGAGGCGACACCCGGGGACGCCCAGAGGGAGAGAGGCGGGGAACAAAGAAAAGAGGAGAGGCAGGGATGTGGGGAGAGGAGGGCGAGGAGTGAGTGGAGGATCGATACCACTGCCATGAAATGAACTGTGACCTCTGCCATGCCAAAACAAAGAAATTGCTTCCGTGCATTCACGATACACCAATTGAATCCCAAGAGTGGAGTAGTCTCGCTAGGCCGTACCTCCTCCTCCATCCTCTGCCGCTGCTGCTCTATCTCCTCCTCAGTCAGGGTCTGCTCCAGCGCCAACACCTCTGTTGGCAGGGGGGGCGCACACGCACAAGCGAGAGAGAGGGGGATTCGAACAAATCAATGAGAGCCACTGTGAAGCAAAGACAGCAGCAGGATTGGAGATAGACGCGAGGACCAGAAAGGACCGACAGGAGCAGACAGACGTGGAGGGAAAGAGAAAGGGAAAGGGAGACACAGACGCCTATGCAGAATTCAGTGGGGCAAGGAAAAGCAGACCACCACAGCCACAACTCACCACCACCCGCTCCACACCACCAAAACCCGCCCTTGCCACTCTGTTCCGCATACAACACCCCAACCCCACTTCCCCCCCCCACCCCCCCCTTCCCACTTCCTTCCTTTCCCCCCCCACCCCCCCACCTTTCTCCCGGGCGCCGCACTCGTCCTTGAGGCGCATGGCGTGCTCCCTGATCTGCTCGTTGCGCGCCTTGAGCGCGTCCAGCCCCGCGGTGTCAGGCACGTCCAGCACGTCCTGGCGCGCCATGAAGATGCGCTGCTTGCCGTAGTCCTTGAACGCCACCTCGCCGCGCGCCGCCGCCGCGTCCAGGGCCTTCTGGACCGCCGTCTTCTTTATGCTGTACTTCTGCAGCGCGTCCGCCACGTTCTGCACGTTCACTGGCCGGTTTTGCTGGTAGGGGAGGGGGCAGAGAGTGGGGGTGGTGGTTGGTTGGGAGTGCGAGGGGGGGAGGGTAGGGGACAACGAGGGAAGTTGAAATTGAAGTTGAACGAGGGAAGAGGTGAAACTGAAGGAGAAGTTGATGTTGCGCATGATGATACGAGCGGGGGTGGTGCTGCATTGCATCTGTTGGTGGTCATACGATGAGCACTGTGCCGCCTACATCCGTCACATCCGAGTAGTGGAAGGCAGGAGGAGGAGGTGCAGTGCGGTTGAGCTGAAAGGGAGTCGATGCGAGGGCATGGGAGCAGAGGAACGCTCACCTCTCGCACGAAGTCCAATACGCGGTCTGCAGGGAAAGAAAGCACGAGGGGTGAGTGAGAGGAGAGAGTGAGGTAGAGGCGAGTGAGAGGCGAGCGGGGGACACCCATGCATGGACCAGAACCTTTTTTCTGTATCTCTATTCCGACGAATGTCATACTAGCGCACCCCACTTGCGATCCTTGAGCAGAGCAGCATAACGAAACAAAACAAAGAAGAGCAAAATATTTCCGAGAAAAAATAAGCATGCGTATTAACCATTTAGAGAGCGTCCAACGTACCATCGGCGCTGACTGCCATGTTGCCCAACCACTCCCACCACGCCTCGGGAGTCTCGACCTGACGCGAGAGCCGCGCTAGGATAGAACTAGGTTAACGCGCTAGGATGAAACTAGGTTAACGCGCTAGGATGAAACTAGGTTCAGATACAGCCCCCCCAAATGGCCGTCAACGCAGCTGACTGCAGCCGGGCAGGGCCTCACGCCAATCTTCGCGAGGACGAACGGTACCAATCAATCAGAGAATAACAATCGAGCTATTTTCCGAGTTTAAATTGTTCCTCCCCTGGTAACCCTAATCTGCTTCTCGTCGAATCAGCGGTACGCGGTCTGCCCGTTAATGTCTCAACATGGAACGTCTTGCAGGTGTATCGGCGGAATGCTCATCTCCGCCCCCCCATAGGGCAACAGACTGCGGTCATGCACCCTTTCCGACAACAAGTCCGATAGCAGCGCCGCAGCAGGCGCCACCAGGCGCCTTATGTGGAAACGCGCTCTTCTACCGCTGGTCTGTTGACGACCAGACGACGCTCCAAAGCTTAGAATCCTACTGTTAGAACCTCAACGTGAAGCATGGAAGGAACAAGAGGGAGAACGCAAGGCAGTTTCTGGTGTGAGTGGTGCATCTATATGAACCAACCACAGCACAGCAGTGAAGCTTATTGCTGACGATTCGCAGCCAGGGTTCTGGAAGTGGGCGAATCCTCGTTACAAGGAACTGCCTCCTCTTCTATTCTCTTAATGATGATTAATTGTTCATATGAGCATCCAAAAAACCATGCCCGTCTCTGAGGTATCATTATTTCCCTCACAAGTATGCCATGACTGAAGCACTGTCAAAAATGAAAAAATCCATAACCAATGTAATTGAACAAGCGTACCTTGCTTTTCACAGCCTAACCTAAGCCTTGGCTTGCTCTAACGTGAGAAACGAAGGCATGTACACTAATATGGTACAGTTTTCAGCTTCGTCCTGAAAAAGTAGGAAGGGGGGGGCAGACACCAAGCATTCCTGCCATCAAGGCAATGGATATTCAGCTGGGAACCAAGTGCAGTTCCATGTGTATTTGAAGTTGGCGTAGATGCACTTGCGGGGGCTCTGGTTCCAGCAGCTGGAGGGTGCGTTGCAAAAGCCAGCAGCACAGGGGATGCGAGAGCAGCACATGCACTGCTTGAAGCAGTTGTTGTAGTTGGTCGTCTGCTGCGCCGCCGTCCCTCCCATCGTCTGCATCGTGGCCGTGCACACACTGTCACACGTCGACGACACGAACGTGCAGCACTTGCCGTCTGCATCACCCACCATCGCAGAGCAGTCCGAGGGCGAGAGAGGCCACGTGGGGTACGGGCAGATGCTCCACGTACAGCCATAGCCAGACAGAGGCGCGATCCCGGTGCGGCCTGTGCAGGCGGCGTTGCACCCGCCACACACCTCCCCTTGGATAGAACGAATCGGCACGGCGTAGTTGCAGACCGCATCGCAGTAAGACGGGTACGTGACATAGTCCGCCCCACAGACCGGCAGCGAGGTCGCACACCCGCAGTCCAGCACCCCGGCACGGCCCACACAGGGGATGATAATCGTGGTGTTGACTTCGAGCGGCGCCGTGGCGTTGTTTGGGAGGTTGTTGATGGCAGCAATAGCATCCGGGGAGACGGACGCGGTGGTGCAGCGCGAGACGTAGATGGACGAGATGATGGCCAGGTTCTCGTTCTCGCGCACCGCGTGCAGCGAGTAGCTCACGTTCTGGTTGGCGTGCATGGCCACCAGCACGGGGGAGTCAATGCACACCATCTGGCCCACCGCCAGGTAGGGGGCCTCGCAGCGAATGCCGGGGTTGATGGCAGTGAACATGGAGAGAGTGAGGTTGGCGGCGTTCCAGATGGTGGGGCATGTGTCGCCCTGCGCCACGCGGTACCATGTCGTGCAGTTGACCGTCGTCTGTGGGGGGGAGGGGGTGGGGCACGAGGGAGAGGGACAGAGAGAGATGTGAGATGGGGCTGTGTGACCGGGGGAGGGGAGGGGAGAATCCCAGGTTTTATGCAAGTGCTGGTGGCAGCTTGAAATTGCTGAAGATGAAAGCTTGTGCCGTGGTGGGGTTAAGAGTGGGCGTACCTGAGCGGACTTGGCAGCGACGCAGACTGAGGCGCCAACAGGGAGAGGCAGGTTGCAGTCGAGCACGGGGTTCAGCGTGGAGAAGGAGCGCGCTGACATCATGTAGCGGCTCGCCACTGTCTCGCACGACTCTCCAACCGCAGCCACATACGTCTGCCCGCACTCGGGCGCCGACCGGGTCTTGTCCTCCTTCTCCGCGTCCGTTGGCGTGCCGGCCGTGTTGGTGGTGGTCGTCGTGGTGGTCCCCAGGATGGGCGCGGGGGGGATGAGGGACGCAGTGGAGTTAGAGATGGGCGAGATGGTGGTGGTGTTCATGGCGAGGCACACCTGCTGCCCCTTGAACAGCCGGATGCACGACAGCTTCGGGTTGATGGCGATCAGGCTGTCGATGCTGCCGCCGAAGTAGGTCGTGGCGAGCGACCAGCACGTGTCGCGCCCGCGCACGTTGTACGTGGACGTGCACACGCTCATGCTCGCAGGCCCGGCCGTCGTCACTGTGCTGGGAGCGGTGGAGGTAGGGGAGGAAATGGTGGTGGTAGAGGTGGACGTGGACGTGCTGGTGGTGGTGCTGGTGCTGGTGGTGACGGTGGTGGTGGTGAGCTTGGGGCTGGCGGCAATGGTGATGGCGATGCCGGGCGGGAGGTACTCTGTGGTGGTGCAGTTGAGCCACATGTTGAGCGCCATCAGGTTGTCGCTCGTCAGGTTGTACGCCGCACCCACCGTCTGAGGTCACAGCGAGGAGCGGGGCGAGAGAGAGAAAGGGGGAGCATGAGCGCGATGAAAGCGGCCGGAAGCAAGGGGAAGCAAGGGGAAGCAAGGGGAAGCAAGGGGAAGCAAGGGGAAGCAAGGGGAAGCAAGGGGAAGCAAGGGGAAGCAAGGGGAAGCAAGGGGAAGCAAGGGGAAGCAAGGGGAAGCAAGGGGAAGCAAGGGGAAGCAAGGGGAAGCAAGGGGAAGCAAGGGGAAGCAAGGGGAAGCAAGGGGAAGCAAGGGGAAGCAAGGGGAAGCAAGGGGAAGCAAGGGGAAGGGGCTGTTTCCAGAGAAGGATTGGTGCACGTGACGGGACAGGGGGGTGGATGCAAGGGGGGGGGGGGGGAGAGCCAAGGGGCGAACATGGGCGGGGAAGAGAGGGAGCGTGGGTGCGTGCATACCGAGCAGGTGTCGCCGGGCACGGTGGTGTAGACATGCGCGACGGCAGACGACGGCATGCACGTTGGGGAGCCGTCCACCGCTGCCCCGATGGCGAAGCCCTGCGAGGGGGGGAGGCGCAGACACACCAGGGAGAGGAATGCGGCGGAGAGGCGACGTGAGGACGGGAATGGGGAGGAGCGGTGGCAGAAGTAGACAGCAATGGGCGAAAGAGCAAGAGAGCAAGAGCGGTTGGGGTGGGGTGGGGTGGGGTTTGGTGGGTGGGGTGGTGGCGGGAGGCACGTACGGGGGAGCAGTTGCAGGTGTAGGAGCCGTCGCCGAGGTCGGAGCAGGTGCCGCCGCCGCAGGGGTTGATGGGCACGGCGCCGCTGGTCCTGGTGGCGCAGGGGAAGCGCGGCACGCACTTGGACGTGGGCGACGCGATCACCTCCACCATGTCGGGCAGCATGGAGCAGTCGCAGCGCGCCATGCCGAACGATCTGTAGCACGCGCCGGCCCCGCAGGGATTAATCACATCCGCGCACGGGTCCATGGCGCCGAAGCCCATCCCCGCGAGCTGGTCAGCAGAGGAAGCGGAGGAGTTGACGCCAGAGGGGGTGAGCGCGGAGTTAAAGAGCAGAGACGATAGGTCGTCCACGCGCCGGACCTTCCATCGCCCGCGCTGGCTCGACGCGAACCGCGCCGGCTGGGGGCCAACCGGATAGTACACGGGGTACATGGGCGGGACGGTGAGCATGCCGCACTTCCCACGCACGTCGGGCGTCATCGCGAGGTACATATACCCCTTGTCGCCCCACGTGTTGTAGAACGAGTTCTTAATAATCCAGTAGCTGCCGACGAGGCTGGGGCCGGTGTAGTTGTACCCGACGACGAGCACGGCGTGGTTGATCTCGGACGTGCACATGCCGTCGTAGATCTTCATCTGGTCGCGGCTGTTGTACGTGCGGAAGTCGTTCGACGCCGCGCTCAGGAACGCGATCACCGGCTGCGTCGTCACTGCCTTCATCAGCGCCAGAGGGTTGAACGCCGGGACCAGCTCCCACCCCGTGATCTTCGCGAGAGGCGCCATTTCCGTCGCGTTGAAGTAGCAGGTGGTGGAGTCGGCGGCGACGTACGGGTAGTTGCCGAGCTGCGTGACGCCGTTGTTCGAGAGCACGTACGAAAACGCCCAGTCGGGCCAGCCGCCCTGGCAGCACTGCTTCGTCGCGCAGTCGCACACCTGCTGCGGCGACAGCGGCGTCGCAGGCGTGCCCGTCGCAATCGCCCACATCATGGCGATGGAATCGACGGCTGTGATGGCCCAGCAGCTGGCGCACTGGAACTGGCGCTGAATTGGCGTGATCATCATGGTGGTGCGCCAGTCCACGTAGCTCAGCGCGCGCACGCTCTCCCACCGGAAGAACGACATGTTCACCGCCGCCATGCTCGGCCCCGACCGCAGAGGCGGCGCGCGCAGCCCGAACCAGTAGCCGTCGGCAGCGGAGAGGCGGCGGCGCGCCGCCACCTCCTCCTCGTCGTTCTCGTCTTCCGCGCCCCTGAGAAGGCGCGACATGTAGAGGCCGCTCCGGACGGACTCCGGCAGTTCCTGGGTTTTTTGGACGGCCATTTCGAACTGCGACAGGGACGGTTGTTGGGATGAGCTGGTGCGAGGGTCGAGGCGCGCGCTGCGGGCCTGTTGCCATGGTTGGGGGAGCACCAGGATTAGAAGGCTGACGAGCACCACGGATACGCGATACCGGTGTGATGTAGACATGGCTGACGAATGCTGTGCGCCAATCCCGGGAGGGGGATTCGAACGGAACGTGAACAGAGTTAAACGGATTGTACTAAATCGGCACTGGTACTGCGGTGAACGTCCAGTGACTGTTTTCTAGGCTCCCACGAGGATTCGCGAAGACATGCGAAGGAATGCGGCAAGAAATAAGAACGTTGGACCACAGGAGCGAAGGAGAAACTCGCGTGGATGGACAACTGTGAGGGGGTTCTACGATGGTTTTTTGTACTCAAAGTGTGCTTGTCTCGCTGAGCTGCACTGAGGGAGGGAATCGAAGGAGGCGGAAATGGAGCAAGGAGTTAATCTGATTGATAGGCTGGAATGGGGCGCCTTTTAGGTTGGTAGGAGGACGCTACGGGAGTGGAAGGCCCCAACCCGACGCGACACCTCGTTGGTTGTTTGGGTTGTGTGGCTGGCATGGCCTGTTGCTGTGGAGCCGAGGTTGTTGTGTTCGCTCCACCACACCACACACCAATGTGTGACGGTTTCTCTTCGGTGTCGGAAAGCCGACAGTACAGTGCCGTACAGAATTGAATGTGGATGTAACGACCGTTTTGTCACTTCGTCGCGCTTCGTTTGTTCCCTTCTCGCCAGGAGGGGGATGCAATGCAAGGGAGAAGCGAGTCAGCCAGAGAGAGCACAAGGAGGCTGCAGCAGTGGCCGCAATGGGACGGAATGGGATGATGGGTGGTGGGAGGGAATGGGACCAGGAGAGAAGGGGAGAGGAGAGGAGGCCGCAGCTTGGATTGGGAAATGTTGCCCTATCCTGCCCAATTGTCTGCTGGAGCAGTGCGGCGACCATCTGGTTATTATGGGGCAGTTATCCCAACAATGAGCCTCCTGGTTATGACAGTGTGTCGCCGGTTCCGGGTGACGGGAGGGGGAGGACAAGAGAGCCCTGGCACAGAACACCAGATACTTAGAAAGTCGGGCCAGGGAAGCCAGTACATTTCCACTAATGTGAAGGAACTTTAGGTAATTTCAGCTAGAACTTACTTAAGAGATCCAAACATGTGCAGCTTGAGAAGCTACACGCAGTTTTTTACGGCCTCTAACCAACCGTGAGAATTGGAGGGAGATGGGGTGACCATGTGTTGTATGATTTCGACCATTCCCACAATTCTCGTGCAGTTTGCACATGTCGAGGGTGTGAGTGAGTGAGTGTGGTGTTCTGTCGTGGGCGGCGGATCTGTTATTTCCGAGTCGCGGCTATCACAAAACAGCGAGAAAGGGGATAACGACGAGAAGAAGCTAGGACTGGGGGAATAGGGTGTCCGGGAGGGGGGTTGAGGGGTGGGGCGGGGGTGGGGGGGGGGGGGGGGGGAGGGAGTAGGTGGATGAACTTTGGTTGATCTGGTGGGCTTTTGTTGTTTGATTCTGCACGCGGCGGAAGGAGCTGATTTTGCGTGGTTTTGGGTTGGAGGAACACATGGATCTGAGGGGGGGCACATGGAGCAGGACTAGTTGCCGTTTAGCTGTTGCACCAGCAGTGGCAGCAGTGCAGCAGCAGCAACTGCCATGGAGCAGGACAAGCAGGTGTGAGATGTAACGACGGAACCCTGCGTGTTCCTACGGAGGAGTCTCTGCGTGAGTCAACCCCCATTAAATGGAATGAGGGCCGATTCCGGAGCGAGTGCTTTCCCAAGGCAGACCCGCGGTCGAAGGAGCCGCGGGCTGTCAGAACCTAACTGCGGGTTTGATATTCTTGACGGTGCAGCCGCTGCACAGTCGTGAACCGTCGCAAGAGGAGGGTTGCGACTTCAGTGGCCGAAATCTGCGAATCCATTAGAAATTCGAGAGTTTCTCACTGGTGGAAGTTCATTTGCACGAAATTATTAGTTTCCAGTTTGCCAGCTGCCTGGCTGGAGCCGTCAGTTTTTCTCAAGACTCGAGGGTCTAACACTCGCTCCGGAATCCTCTCTGAATTTACGTTACTCCTTCGGGGGATTTTTTAGCGGACCTAGACCCAATCATGGACACGGCAGAACGGAGGGTGTCCTTTTGCAAGGTCTGAGCCTCGCGGTTTCTTTTGCACACTCGTGTATCCACACTTAGCAAAACACCAACCTCTAAGCTAAAATCCAAAAAACGGGATGATGGGGCAAGAGTGTGCAAGGACGCGAAGTTCGATGCCACGTCGCCGTACATGTCCGGAATGGCGAGGCGAGCGAAACACGAACAATCACATGCTGAACACAAAGCAAGGTTCCGAATCGCAGGTATATACAGCACACAAGAGCTCTTCCTGCCAGTTGAGATAACCGTCGCTAGTGCTTACAATCTCGTTGCTGTTATAATCACTTATCAAACTTGTGTTTGGTAACTCACTACTTCTAGATTAGTACCTCAGGCTTTTGACGAGGAAAGCTAGAGGAAGAAAAGCAGCTACCCAGAATTCGCAGTACAACTCACCTTCTAACACATTTTCTATATTGCGTTTCGATCACAACTCTAGTGGCAAATGGAAACAAGGGCTTATAACTACTACAGTCGCTACAAATGTTCAACTTATGCATCTGATTGGGAAATTAGCACTACAACTCCAACATCAAAATCATTAACTTTTGCAAGCATATCACAGTACATCCCTCAACTCAAGCTTAACATTGGCCTTACCAAGCCTCCATCAGACATTAATCAGCTGAGTGTGGTGGTACAGCATGGCAGAGGTGGCGGCAGCTGCATCAGTGACAGCAGTACTGGTGGTGTTGGTGATGGTGGTGGTGAGGTCATAGAGTGGTTGTTTGGAGCCGTGGGAGCATAAGGAACAGCGGGACTATCAACAGGAACGGCTGAAGCACTGGTGGATTAGCCAATGGTAAGCACAGCCCGAGACACAACGGGTGGTTGCTGCGATAGGTACACTGCACTGGGGGAAGCGAAGGCAAAGCAAGAACCGGGGGGGGGGGGAGGGGGAGTGGGCGGGGGTGGGGGGGAAGAGCTGACATTCTGTGAGGCAGACGGCTGGATAAGAGCAGTGCCAATACAGGGTAGGACGAAAGCCAAAAGCACAACAGGGGAAAGCCAGGTTGACTGACCAGAGTGAGGGAAAGAGGAAGAGGTGAACTGGAAAGGGCGACCGTGAATGGTAATGACACATGGCAATGAAGACAGACACACCGCAGCGAAGGAAGCAGACGCCAGGGGCAAGGACAGAGGTGAGGGGTGGTGAGAGAACCGAGGGCAAAAAAAGGGATGAGAGAGCGTACACTAACAGGGGTAGAGCCAGGGTGTGTAGGGACAGGCGAGAGTGCTAGGCTGAGGAGGAGGAGCGACGGGCCGCGTATATCCGAAAGCCCACCACCAGCACCACTGCTACTGCTGTGCCGACTGCCCAGGGAGAAAGACGAACGCGGAAAGAGAAGCGATGCGAGAGAGCAGGGATATACAGACAGGGACAGAGTACAGCAGGAGATGCGATAAGCTTGATGGGCTGCTGACGAGGGTTGACTGACTGCCGACTTGGATGTGTAACACGTGTAACAAAGCACACACAACAGAACAGAACAGAACAGAACAGAACCAAACAAAAACTGCCAAAGCTGCCCCTTGGACCCATCAATTACACCAACAGGGGGCGCTCAACGGAATGGTGAATCCCCTAGCAGCAGCAGCAGCAGCAGCAGCAGCAGCAGCAGCAGCAGCAGCAGCAGCACTGGTCCATCCACGCACCGAGGGCCACGGAGACAGAGCGGTAGAGCAGGCGTCGGCGCAGCGCCTTGGAGGAGCGCGAGGCGGACGTCTCGGGGATGCCCACATGGGGCTTCCTGGCGGCATCTGCCAGGCGCACCCACAGCTCGTTGACGTCGTGCAGCAGCGACGACACCGGCACCGGGGCTGCCACCCCCATCTCCGTGCACAGCTGCAGTGCGTAGGTGGAAGGGGGGGGGAGGAAGTGCGGGGGGTGACAAGGATGGGGGACGAGAGGGTGAGAACGGTCAATGGCATCTGCCCTGGTGCCACACGCCCGCGTGCACACACACAAACACGCACGCACGCATGCGCGCGCACGCGCGCGCGCGCGCACACACACACACACACACACACAAGCGGACGAAGTAAACCAACAGCGTACCTGCGCAGATTGCGTGAAGATGGCGGGGTGCGGCTCGAGGTCGTTCTTGGCCGCCACGAGCACAGCCGGCATCTCACTCTCCGTCGCCTCTGCCCGCCCCGCCACCTCCTGCAGCATGCCCACCGCCTTCTCCCAGCTGCCCTGCGATGAACTGCACAGTGGGGGAGGGGGAGGGGGAGGGGGACGGGGGGGAGAGAATTTGGGAGAGGCAGTGGACCTGGTGGTGGGAGGGAAGGGAGCGTGAGGGAGCGTGAGGGAGCATGAGGGAGCGTGAGGGAGCGTGAGGGAGCGTGAGAGAGCGTGAGGGAGCGTGAGCGAGCGTGAGCGAGCGTGAGGGAGCGTGAGCGAGCGTGAGGGAGCGTGAGCGAGCGTGAGCGAGCGTGAGCGAGCGTGAGGGAGCGTGAGCGAGCGTGAGGGAGCGTGAGCGAGCGTGAGGGAGTGTGAGGGAGCGAGATCAGCATGCCCACCGCCTTCTCCCAGCTGCCCTGTGATGAACTGCACAGTGGGGGAGGGGGAGGGGAAGAGGGGGGGGAGGGGGCAGGGAGGGTGGGAGCGGGTTTGGGAGAGGCAGTAGACCCGGTTGTGGCAGGCGGGCAAGAAGGGCACATGTGGGACATAGGCAGCATGCCCACTGCCTTCTCCCAGCTGCCCTGCGACGAGCTGCGAGATAAGGGGAGGGAGAGGGGCAGAAGGGAAGGAGATGGGACGCGGAGAGAGCGGAGGGTGGAGGGGGGATGGAGTAAAGAGGGGGAGTGGAGGAGTGGGGAGGGAGCCACGAGGGTGAAGCGAAGGATTGGATCGAAAAAACGGGAACTACGTGCGTGTCTGTCTTATTTCGAGTGCTTAGCCCTGTTCTCACTTGCCTTACCACCTGCTACCAGCATATCCATCCCCTGCCTTCCCATGCTGCTCACAGGGGCACAGGGGCACAGGGGCACAGGGGCACAGGGGCACAGGGGCACATGGCCCGAACGAGATTAGCCATGGCACTGCAACAAGCAACACACTCCCTGTCGCGCCCCCGCACCTGTCGTAGACAAAGGCAGCCACGTCGCACGCAGCGAGCCAGTTGGGTTCAGCGAGGAGGCGTGGCAGCGCGTCTGGGTGCACCTCCCGCAGCACCAGCACCGTGCTACTGCTCGCCACCGTGCCCAGGTCCTGGGAGGGTGGGGAGGGTGGGAAGGTTGGGGGGGTGAAATGGGTGGGGAGGTTGGGAGGGTGAGAAGGGTGGGAAGTGTGGGAGGGTGGGAGGGGGAGGGAGCGAGGATGGTGTTTGGCATGGTGTGGGGCGTCTGGGTGCACCTCCCTCAGTACAGCACCGTGCTGCTGCTCGCCGCAGTGCTCCGATCCTGAGAGGGGGAAGGTTGAGGGGGAGAGTGGGAGAAGAAGATGGTTCACCAGTCATGCTCTCCCACCAGTCATGCTCTCCCACCAGTCATGCTCTCCCACGAGTCATGCTCTCCCACGAGTCATGCTCTCCCACCAGTCATGCTCTCCCACGAGTCATGCTCTCCCACCAGTCATGCTCTCCCACCAGTCATGCTCTCCCACCAGTCATGCTCTCCCACCAGTCATGCTCTCCCACCAGTCATGCTCTCCCACCAGTCATGCTCTCCCACCAGTCATGCTCTCCCACCAGTCATGCTCTCCCACCAGTCATGATCTCCCACCAGTCATGCTCTCCCACCAGTCATGCTCTCCCACCAGTCATGCTCTCCCACCAGTCATGCTCTCCCACCAGTCATGGTTTTGAGGCGCCTCAAAAATTGGTTCACGTGTCATGCTCTCTCTTGGCTTGGAGATGGCTTTGCGCTGACGCCGCACACGAGCACACGAGCACACTGTGCAAAGTGGCACACCGTTCCCCTCACTGAAACGCTGTGCCACATGCTACATGCTACATGCTACATGTAACATGCTACACCACATGGCGGCTCAATACAACACGCTTAGCATGCTTTGCATCCAGAGACCAAATATCTCACATGCCATACATGGCTGGCTGTACTGCTGATATCTATTTTTGAGGTGCCTCCAGACTGGAATAATGGCTCTCACATGCCGCCCGGCCATACCTGGCTGGCTATGCTGCTGGAGTCGCGAGTCGAGGAGGAGAGGGAGGAGGCGGTGGTGGTGGACGAGGAGGAGGAAGAGGAGGAGGACGAGGAGTGTGCTTGAGGGTCGGTGGAGATGAGGTTGACAGCAAACCGCTCGTCCTCGCTGCACTTGATGTGCGACGGCTCAAACGGTCTGGGGGGGGTGTTGAGGGGGCGAGCAGGAGGGCGGACGAGGAAGGGGGGGGAGGATGTTGACTTTTATGTCGACTCAAAAGGCAAACTGCTCGTCCTCCCTCCACTTGATGTGCGACGGCTCAAACGATCTGGGGGGGGGTGAGGAGGAGGGCGGACGAGGAACGGGGCCCAGTTTTGAGGAGAGCGAGAGCAGTGAAAAGCTAAGAGGAGGGAAAGCGAAAGCGAAGAGTGGGAAAGCGAAGAGTGGGAAAGCGAAGAGGGACGAGACGAACAGCAGGGGGGGGACACGGAAAGATGGGGAAAGGCAGAGGGGAGAGAAGTGAGGGGGGAAGAGAGGGGGGAAGAGGGAATGAAAGGAGAAACTAGAAGGTGGGCAGGTGAATGACGTGGTGTATGGGATATGCCATCCATCGCAGTTGTGCGTGCAGATCACCTCTGATACTACGGTGCATCATATGATCCTCGTGCACCAGCTGACTCACCCAAGAATGCTACACTGAGACATCCCCTCATCCCTCATCCCACACCTCACACCTCACACCTCCCATCTCGCATCTCGCATCTCGCACCCCACACCCCACATCCCACATGCTGTGCTCCACAACCCCTCATCCACGTTCCTCCGTGAGCATAACAAACACCCAACATCCCGTCACCTCCCATCAAGTACCAAGTACCAACGCTCAGCTCCCGTCGCCATACCGGCCCCCCGGCCACCTCCCCACGGCCGCCCTGCCACCTCCCCACGGCCGCCCTGCCACCTCTCCTTCCTCCCAGCGACAAGTTGCACTGCGCGGCTTTCCGTGCGAATCCCACCACGAGGCACTCCTACGCACACCCTTGCTTGCTGCCTGCCACGCTCTTGTTCCTAACCTGAGGAAAGCTAACCGCCCCACCCTCGCCCTCACCTCCCCAGCAACGAGTTGAGCCTTCTTACCCGCCTTCTTTCCCGCCTGCGCAGGCCCCACCACGAGGCACGGCAGAACACACACACCCTTGAGTGTGCCTGCCAATCTTTCTTCCTTAGAGCCCTCATCTGCAGACTCACCTGCCCAGGAGCGAGTTGAGCAGCGCTGTCTTCCCCGCCTGAGCCGGCCCCACCACTAGGCACTGCAGCACGCGGCGCTGCGTGCTGCCTGCCTTGCGGTCGCTGCGGCGCCGCCGCGTGAAGGTGAGCGCGGAGGGGGCGAGGTCCGAGGGGAAGCCCAGGTACAGCAGATACTCTATGGCGCGCTCGGGGTGCAGCAGCGCCATCAACGACCACTGGGGGGGTTGGGGGGAGGGAGAGCGGGGGTTTTGGGAGAGGTTTGTTGGGTACAGAAGAACGTTGAAGTCCAAGGGGAACTGAGGGAGGGGGGGAAGGGGGAGAGGAGAGGGGAAGGGGAGCAGGCTGGGATGTGAAGGGAGGCTCAGGTGACTCGGCATTGAGGAGCACAGCATTGAGAGCGATGGGGGAGAGGGGAGGGGGGGGAGGGGAGGGAAAGGGAGGGAAGGTGAACGGAGGTGAGGGGAACGGAGGTTAGGCGAATGGACAGAGAAGAGGAGGGCGGGAGGGGAAAGCAAGCAAGGGATGTGCAGAGAAGGCGCACAGACCAGAGCCAGGTACAACTGGCAGGGAAGCACCCCAGAACAGGAAGGAACGAGCTAGCCCCAGGGGCAGGGACGCATGATTACAACTTACAAGGGAGAGGTAGCCGCTGAAGGTGAGCGCCCCTGATGGTGATGCCTCTGCCGCCCCCAGGTATGGCGCCTCCTCCCATGGGCTGATGGCAGCGGCGGGGGGGAGCGAAAGGGAGGGAGGGAGAGGGGAGAGACGAGAGATGGAGGGGAAAGGAAGGGGAGAAGGAATGGGAGGAGGAAAGGAGGTCAGATGACTTAAAAGAGGTCGCATGACTTAAAGAGCAAGCGAGAAGAAAGTAAACAAGAGGAGCAGGACCATGCAAAACAGCAAGTGTCATTGGAAACAACACAAGAGCAGAAAAGAAGACAGCCCAATGAGGTCACTGGCAACACCACGGCTCCGCTCTGGGAGCAAGTAGGCGAGCCTGTTAGAGACTGGATTTTTGAAAGAGGCTGTTGAAATCTGGGTGTTTGGGAAGGGCGAAGGAAGCCGGCACGGCGCGGCGCACATGCCTGTTGGGTGCGGTGCTGAAGAGGTTGTTCAGCTCGCTGGTGTTGAGGGCGCCGTCCTGCTTACCAACGGCGCATGGTGGCCGCACGAGGGAGGGGGGAGGGGAGAGGGGAGGGAGGGGGAGGGAAGGATAGTGAGAAGACGAGGTGGGTCACACAGCGAGATGCAAAGGCCGTGCTCCCACGACCCCTTTCTCCCTATCAATACTAATGATACCCCCCCTCCAAATCCTCCCCCCCCCCCTGCCCCCTTTCACCCCTTCTCCAACCAAACAGGATGCCACAAGTTTGCCGTCTCGATCGCCCCCATCCCTCTACCTCTACCCACTCTACAACCAACAAAACCAACCACTCCTGACGCCTCGCCCTTGCCAAGCCAAGCTACCCGGAGCACTGTGTTCCACGCCCATGACCTGGTCGTTGTCGAACGCTCTGAACCGCGCACACACAAACTCCAGCGCCTTGGTCGATAGCTCCACGCTCTGCCATGGTGCATGGGGAGGGCGGGGTGGGTGGTGAGGGAAGGAGGGGGGGGAGGGGGGGGAGGGGAGGGAGGGGAGGGAGCGACGGGGAGGGTAGGGAGGGGAGGGAAGGAATGGAGGGGAGGGAGGAAAGGGAGGGGAGGCAGAGGACAGGGGTGCACGTGGGGCAAACGTTTCTAGGCAGGTCAGGGAGCAGAGAGATGGGCGGGACAAGCGACATGGACAGTAGAAGGGCGAGGCATGCTCTGGGTGGGGGAGGAGGGGAGAGGAGGCACACAGGAGACAGCAGGGTTTGAGAGGATCCATGACGGGACGCCAGGAGGAATGGAACGGCCGTGGGACGCAGGGAGAGTGGAGGGGCAGAGATGGGCAGTAGGGGCGTGTGGGACAGCCTTTTGCTGTGCTATGCTCCAGGTCTAGGCTTTGGAAGGGAGGGAGGGAGGGAGGGAGGGAGGGAGGGAGGCAAGGGGAAAGCAAGGACGCACAGGGGGAGGTTGGATGGCGTTAAAAATAATCACAGGACATTGAACCCGTTACTCAGGTGAAGAGAAGGTTCCGGGAAGGCCTGAGTTAGAGGCACGTGAAACATAAAAACACCTGGAGCAGGCGCAGACAATGACCCTAAAAGCGACCAATGCCATTTCTCCCCGTAAGCTTCCCTTTCCGACTTCCCCTCCCTCCTCCCTCGCCATCTCCCCCCCCCTCCACCCCCAAGCGCCCCCGATTATCTCCATCTCCCATCCCCCCACCCCGTGCGTGGCCCACCTGGCCCGGCAGAGTGGCTTGGAGGGCAGCTGAGTAATCTCGTCGCACAGGTGCAGTGCTAAGGAACACCGTCCACGTCGTCCCCAGGCGCCCGTGCTCAATGAAGCCCCCTCCCAACATACCCTTCCCTCCCCTTCTCTCCCACACCTTCACCCTCTCTCCATTCCTAAAGCCACCCATCTATCCCCTCCCCCCCCCGCCCAGAATCCTCCCCTCTTTCCCCTCCCCCCCCCCTAAGCCCAAGCCCATCTCTTCTCCCGCCTCTCTCCCCGCACCCCACCTGGTCCGGCAGGGGCTTGGAGGGCAGCTGCGTGATCTCGGCGCGCAGGTGCAGCGTGGACGAGTACCCGAACTTGCGCAGCACGGTCCACGTGGTCTCGAGGCGGCCGCGCTCGATGAAGAGCGCGTGCAGGAAGAGGAAGCCCGTCAGCGTCAGCCCGTTCGCCGCTACTCCGTCCACCATTTTCTCTGCCACCACTCGCTTCACGCCTACGAGCTCCGCTGGCTGCAAAGGCACCGAGAAACACTCCACCTGAAGGGGGAGAGGGATGGGAAAAGGGTAGAGGGGAGAGGAGCGGGAATATGCAAGGAAGACGGGAGGAAAGGGGAAGGAAAAGGGATGATGGGCTAGAGGGGGGAGGAGCAAGAGGCGCAGCACACTCAAAACACTCCACCTGGGGGGAAGGGGGGGAGGAGGGGGGCAAGGAGGGGGGGGGGGAGCGAGTGGGGGGGAGAGTCTCGGGGAAGCAAGGATGTGCACAGAACTGCACACTGTACACTTCAACCTGAGTAGACTTTGTTTCACCAGGCTCTGAGGAGGAACAACGGGTATGCAATCCGCAACACTGCAGAAGCATGGACACCACATGCTTGGGGAAGCACCCAAATCAAAGATACCCGCCCAAATCACGGCCGGCCACCAATCCGCGGGCCCAACGCAACGCAGTCACAGCCGCCGCTACTCACGGCCATGCAAGCAAATCATATTTGAGTTGACAAAAAACTCGTCACAGGCACACACACCGCTACTCACGGGCACGCTACTCACCTGGAAGGGCAATGACAGTGCCTCTCACCTGGAAGGGCAATGACAGTGCCTCTCACCTGGAAGGGCAATGACAGTGCCTCTCACCTGGAAGGGAAATGACAGTGCCTCTCACCTGGAAGGCGTTGAGCTCGTTGTCGGAGAGCACGCCATCCCCGTCCACGTCGCACAGCATGAAGATGCGCATCAGCGCGCGCACACACGCCGGCCGCAGCGCCTGCGTCTGGCGGTCGAACAGCGGGCCCGTGGGGTGCAGCACCGCCCGCTGCGCAAAGAAGAACACCTCCGCTACCTGGGGGGGGGGGTGCGGTGTTGGGGGGGGTTCGAGAAGAGTGAGGAAGGGCTTTTGAGTCGACTCGAAATCTAAGGGGGGGAAGGGGGGAGGGGGGGGAGGAGCGGGAAGGGGGATGCAATGCGGTGTTGGGGGGGATTTGGAGAAGAGTGAGGAGAGGAAGAGTGCACAGTGCGGCGTGCTGGGAGGGCAAGGATACTCCTACTACGTGGGCGTCGCACGAGGTTGAGGCAACAAGCTGGGAATCAAATGAATTTCTAATCCAGAATCTTGGAATCCCTCCGAGATTCTCTTCCCCATCCCACTGCTTCCCCTCCAATCCCTGTCCTCTCACAACACCTCGTCTCTCCTTGATACATCCACTCCCCCCTTCCACACACAAACTCTCTCACTCCCCGCTCGTTCCACACCTGTATGCGTCGGAGCGCGGAGCACTCGAGGCACGTCTCGACCTCTTTGAACTCGTCCATGATGGGCGCCACCAGCACGTCCAGCGGCTGCTGCGCCACCATGCCCCCCGCGCCCCCTGCCCCCCCCGCCCCCGCCGCCGCTCCCCCTCCCCCCGCTACTGCGCCCGGCACCCCCCGTAGGTCGAGCTTGCACCCCACCACCACCACTGGCACGGGCACCTGGGGGAAGGGAGGGGGGGCGACAGCGGGAAGGGAGGGGGAGCGACAGACGGAAGGGAGGGGGAGCGACAGACGGAAGGGAGGGGGAGCGACAGACGGAAGGGAGGGGGAGCGACAGAGGGAAGGGAGGGGGGGGAAGAGACGGAGGGAAGGGAGGGGAAGAGACAGAGGGTGTGGGGCCCAGAGAGTGCGGACTTGGAAGAGGACGGTAGGGGCGATGAGCCAGGTGGGGGAGAGGTAGAAGGGGGGTAGGAGAGGGTGGGGCCTAGTGCGCAAGTGAGGCTGAGGGCAAGGGCAGCGGGGTAGTGAATGGATAAAAGGATATACGGGGTTAGGGAGAAAGCACGGAGAGAATATGATGCGGTGAGGAGATACTGAGCCTCACCAGCGCGCATTGGTGCAACAAGGGCGCACTGCGGCAGCAACGCAATGCAATGCAATGCAATGCTAGCCACGATACTCACCGCACCTCACCTCACCTCACCACGCAAGGTCTCTCTGCTCAGGCATGCGAGTGCACGAGAGCAAGAGGAACCGCGCGCATGCTAATGCATATGCACTCGACGCAAGAAGAATGTGCCCCAACCGTCCTCAATAGGTAATCATTTGTCGCCCGTCAACAGATCTCCTTTCCCCACCCCCTCACCCTCCCCGGCACCACCCCCCACACCCAGTCACCCACCCCCGCTAGGGTCCATTCCCCCAACCCCTCTCCCTCCGACCCCAGTCCCCGGAGAGCCTTGTCCCCCCACCCAGGGCCGCACCTGCAGTTGTCTGAGGAGCGGCAGCCAGTAGGACGACACGGAGTTGAGCGACGCCTGGTCGTCGCACGCGAACGTGATCACCACCGCGTCCGCCGCGCGCAGCTCCGCCTCCACCGCGCCCCGCTCCTCGCGCCTGCACCCCGCGCGCGCGCGCGCGCACGGACGACCAGAGCCAACACGAGAATGGGGGAAGAGCTTGAGACGAGGCCATGGAAGGGTTCTCGCCTCGAGGGAGGCGCTACGCCGTCGATGGCGAAGCTTTGCCCTAGATCGAGCGGCGATGCGGTCTCAGGTCTCGCGATGTGCTCGAGCAGAACAGAGAGGGCGGTAAAGGATGGGATCGGGGGGGAGTCGCTCTAAGAGCCACGAGTGCCAGGAACGAGCGCAACATGGGATCCCGTCTAATATAAGGTTTGTTTTGAAACGTCGGATCCCATCTGACGCGCGGCTGATGCTGAGTCTAAGTCCTCTAAGGCGCGCGTGACTGGGCAAGCGTGCGCGCGATCCGCGCGCAAGCACAGCTCGCTGCCGGATGCCACAGTGAGCGAGTTGCCCTCGTTGCTTCCGCGCGAGCGCAGAGAAACCTAGGTGCTGTCGGTGCATTTTGACAATTCTCAAAGTACATCTGCGAGAGCGGAGAGAAACCTAGAGCGGCAGAAACCTAGGACTTGATTAAGAGGCATGTGCGGCGGGAGCTGAGATCAGCAACGTTCAAACGGTGAGAGACGACCACCTGATTAGAAAGTCCGAGGCCAAACCAGCGGGCTCCTGCGGGCATGAATTGGTTAGGAAAGGTTTGGCGGCATAATGGCGGCACGACCAGAACGACAGGTCCGGTTCTAATGCAGGACGTTGGTATGGTGGTGGTGACATGCGTCACACGCGCTACGTCGTGGTCGGAGTGGGTACACAAGAAGTGGGTGCATAAGCATAAGACTCTAAGAAGTAGCCACTTTTAAGCCGTGGGTACCACAGACGAGAACGGAAGCGAGACGCAAGGCACGAGACACGGCGAGCAAGGAGAGCAAGAGGGACGAGCTGAGTCACGGCACAAGGTGAGGACAGCCAGGACGATGTAAGGGGTGCGAGGAGAGAAGCGGGGGAGTGATGCTGTTGCGCAACGGGGTAGGTTTGAAAGCGGCGCACGACAGGGAGAAAGAGCAAGGGTGGGGGAGAGAGAGGAGGGTGATCTTAGAGACCTTGACCACGTGTCCACGATCGGGTCAGGAACCAGAAGAGCAGAGAGGAGAGAGGAGAGAGGAGAGGGGAGAGGGGAGAGAGGAGCGAAAAGAGAGTAGCGGGGAGAGGGGGAAGAGCGAGACCTTGACGAAGTGTCGACGATCAGGAGCGGGATTTTATCCGAAAACGAGTCGGCGAGGTAGCGAGTGGGCGGCAGCACGGGGACGGGCTCTTCCGGAAAGGCCTCTGTGAGGCACGAGATGATGAGCGACGTCTTGCCCGTGCCCTGGTTGCCCACCACCACCACGCGGATCGCGCCGCCATCCTCGCCGGCGCCGCTCCCCGACGCGCCGCTCTCTCGCTCGAACCGCTCCGTGCCTATCCTGTCGCCGGGTCGCGGCCGATCGCCTTCTTTCGCGCTCATATCGCCGGATCTATTCGAGATCTCTTTTGGGGTCTACTCGGGCGGGAGATCCTTGGGACTTACAAGGCTACACTTTCTGGAGAAGCACGAAAGCAAAACGCAGGGAAGTGACGAGAAAGATCACTAAGTGGTGATGGCAAGCCGGCTGTACTATACGCCTAAGACCGGCGGCACTGAGGTCGCGCTTCGCAGGGCCTAGCCTGAACTCTAGGAAATACCACGGGATTTGGCCTGACATGAACTGCGTTCCAGAATGCACTGTTGCTGAAGGACAAGGTGAGTGAGAAGCAGATATTCCCAGCACCCTGCGCAGCACTGGGAGGTCATTCAGTAGTCTGCGAAATCCTGGAGGGAATACACGAAACGTTTGTAACAGAAAGAATGTGAGATCCACCAACAGCTCGAATCGACGAACACTGGCGAAGGGTCCTTGCTCTGGGTGAGCCTCGGAGATGTCGCACAAGCACCGTCAGCGATTTGCTGCTCCCGCTGCTCGGTTGGAGGGTTTCGTCAGGGAAGCACTTCGTTTGTGGGGAAACTTTGTGATTGCTGCCACAAACAGTGCTTGAATCAATAGCGCGAAATGTCGCGATCTGATTGTATAGCAAATTCAACTCTATGGCAACTTAGGTTTCCCTCTCCATTCCAATTTCCATCCATTCATCCAACTTTCCTTTGTCTTCTATACTAAAATGATGGACACTTCCTCAATCTGGAGAAAAAGCGGTATGGTCATACATACAATGTCATATCATGAAGACGTTGTTGGAAATACCTCAAGGACTGACGCATTTCTGAAGTAAAACACTGCACTCGAGTAAACGGAGGTTGCACGAGGAGGTTGGACGAAAGAACACGAAAGGACGAAAGATTCGAAGGGTCGCAACTGGAGGTTGCGACTGACCGTTACAACTGCAAGGGTGGTAACCGAACCGACCATCAAGTCGCTGTGCGACTCGATAACCATTCCTTCAATTGTATTTCGCAACTGCTTTATCTTCCTATTTTCTATATATTACTGTATGCTTGTTTCTTTTAATAAGTCACTTGCTCTCACATACTAGTGCAAGGGTTCAACTACTCAACTTCCGCTGCACTACTCAAGTATCTTGTACAACTGGGACTTAGTCTCTGAAAAGATCCTAAGTGCTTTTCTCAGCCCAACAGATGTGAAAAGAAGAGACGTTACATTACATGACATGTCAGAGCTAAGCTCCATACTTGGGATACCTCCACAGCTTGAATGCAACCTCGTATATGAAGCGATCTGCTAAGATGGCTCGGTCTCCACCATTCTGCAAGCAGATGCCCACACAATGGAGATGTCAAACGTGCAGCCATGACAGCTTTACCAAATCCTACAGATTGTTGCGTTCTTCCAGGTCACTCCAACACGTGGCCGTGCACACATGAATCAGTAATGCAGGAAGTGCAGCACCCCACTACAAGAAGCTGCATGTGTGACTAAGCTGGTCCATTGATATATGCCATGAAAAGCCAGCCATTGTGCTCCACACACCAGAGTCCAAAACAAACATCACAAATCCCCGCCATGCCGCAAACCCCACATGACACCCCATGCCGCGCCACCCCATGCCACGCACCTGTAGGCACTCTTGCATGCCGAAGCGCGTCGCCTCGTCGCAGCGGGTGACAGCTGGCAGGTGGCGGGTGACTAGCAGAGGGTGGTGGTGGCTGCACCGAGAGAGAAAGAGCGAGAGAGAGAACACGGAGTGCAGGAAATGCAGCGTACAGGTGAGGAGTGGTTAGAGAGGGGAGAAGCATGGTGATGAGATCCGGCAATTTTGACAGGAAGGTGAGAGCATCGCAACGCGCTGCCAACACTCAAAAGCAAAGCAACGACTGAAGCCAGCGGCAGAGAGACACCATGCCCTTACCGAACGCCCTTCACTGGCTCGTCTCCCCTCAGCTCATAGCTCTGGCGTGGCACAAACGGCACGCGCGGCGGCAGCGGTGGCGCCGAGTCCGTCGACGAAGCAGACGTCAGCGGCGCGAGATGGGGCAGGGACAGCAGGGGCTGGGACGACTGGTCTGACTCGGTGGTTGACTGCACTAGAGCACCAGCCACCTGCTGGTTCCCCTGCTCCCCGTACCCAAACACCACTGCGAGGTACAGATGGCTCTCTGCCCTGAGGCGCGCGGAGGAGGACTGGTCGTCAGGCACTGTTCTTCCCTCGCCACCAGGCCCTTCCCCCTCCTTTTTGCCTTCCGCCCCCTTCCCTTCCTTCCCATCGCGCCACCTCAGCAGCGCGGCCACTAGGGAATCCACCCAGCCAATCGCACGCTCTGCCTGCTCCCACGCCTCCAATTCCTTGCCTTGTCTCGCCGTAGCACCCGCATCCCCTGCCTCCTCTCCCCCTCCCTCGCCTGCTCCTGTCACAGCCCCTGCTGCTGCTTCTGTTGCTCCTGCTGCTACTCCTCCTGGTAAACCACCTGCTGCCTTCCCCCCCTCGCCACCCCAGGCGCCCACGTCACCGGGGCGCACATGGACCAGCACCAGTTCTACTTCCCCCGGCTCTCTCTCTGCAGCGCTAGGGGGAGGTCCTGGCACCTCCTCCCGGTGCAGCCCTAGAGCCGCCACGATCCGAGCAGCCAACACCGAGGGGTCTGCTACGGCTGCTGCTGCTGCTGCCACTGGGCCTGACCCCACTGGCCCTGCTGCTGCTGATTCCACTGCTGCTGCTTCCCCTCTTCCTGCGTCTGCTTTGGCTTCTGCTGCTGCACCGTCACAGGAGTCGACGACGGGCTCGCCTGTGACGAGTAGATGGTGCGAGGAGGAGGGGTGTGCGGCAAGCGGCAGGCGAGTAGTGCGGAAGCCAGCAGCGCGGGCGAGAACAAGGGAGGCGGGGGAGGAAGAGAGGAATGACGCCTCCATGCCAATGAAGCTGTAGAGGAGGGGGGGAGAGGCGAGGGAGAGAGGCAAGGGAAAGTAAGAAGGGGAATGGCGGTGGGAGAAAGTCGAGGTGAGGCCTGAGAGGGGAGCGGCGATGAGAGGGTGAGGGGGAGAGAGAGAGAGAGAGCGAGAGAGTGCGGAGGGGCAAAGGAAGAGGTGAAGGGAGAGACCACGCTTGGTCCAACACAGCAAGGCGGCATAGCAAGAGACATGCTCGGACAGGTAAGGCATGCGAGCATTCCACAGAAAGGCAGCAGCTACCGGGTACGGGCTGGCTGTAACGCGCGGTCAATGCGCGAGGGTCATGGCATGGCATGGCATGTCATGCATGAGGTGTGGCAATAATGGCCTGGTATGGTCCGTGGGAGGTGTACCGGTCAGACAGAGGTGCGGGGTTGGTGCTCCATGAGATTGCAGCAGCGGAGGAAGCAGCAGCAGCAGCAGTGCTGGGATCGCTGGGATCTGCGCTGCTCACAGCGGCCGGCTGATGGGTGGCCGTGTGTGGTTGGTTGGATTGGACTCAGGCACACACATGTGCACACACACATGCAGACACACATGCAGACACACATGCCGACACGCATGCAGACACACATGCAGACGCACATGCAGACACACGCAAACCCACATGCAAACGCACACGCAAACCCACATGCAACCGCACATGCAAACCCACAAGCAAACGCACATGCAAACCCACATGCAAACACACATACACATGCAAACCCACATGCAAACACGCATGCAAACACACATGCAAACACACATGCAAACACACATGCAAACACACATGCAAACACACATGCAAACACACATGCAACCACACATGCAAACGCAAGCACATAAGAATGAGAGAGAGGGAGGTAGTGAAGGTGGGGGTGGACGGATAGTAGGATGGGCTCAGCGGACAGCACGAGACCAGCCACGAGGGGGAAGAGGCGGGGATTGGGAAAAACGAAGCCGACAGAAAGCCAGGGGGGCCGGGGGAGGAGGGGGGGGGGGGGGGAGGAGGGAAGGAAGGAGGGAGGAAGTGAGGGGTTCAGGGAGAAAGGGGTGAGAGAGAAAGGGGAGGGGGCGAGTGGTTTGTCAAGGAAAACGGAGGCACGAAATGGAAGGCTGGAATTGTGAGAGAGTGACGGTGAGAAAAGCAAGGGGGTGCGGGGGGTGGGGAAGATGAGACTCCAGAGAATGCCGGATTTGGGGGGAAGGGGGCAGTCGTGGCACGTGTCTCGCACCTGGGTGTCTGGAACGTGCGGGGCGGGAGGAGCGTGCGCGCAGTGGAACACGTCCAGCAGCTGAGCCAGCTCCAACGCCTCCCTCTGCGCCGCACTCACTGCCAGGGGGGGCATGGGGGCATGGGGACATGGGGGCATGGGGGCATGGGGACATGGGGGCTTGAGGGCACGGGGGCATGGAGGCATGGGGACATGGGGGCTTGAGAGCACGGGGGCATGGAGGCCTGGGGACATGGGGGCATGGGGGCATGGGGACATGGGGGCATGGGGGCATGGGGACATGGGGGCTTGAGGGCACGGGGGCATGGAGGCATGGGGACATGGGGGCTTGAGAGCACGGGGGCATGGAGGCCTGGGGACATGGGGGCATGGGGGCATGGGGACATGGGGGCATGGGGGCATGGGGACATGGGGGCTTGAGGGCACGGGGGCATGGAGGCATGGGGACATGGGGGCTTGAGAGCACGGGGGCATGGAGGCCTGGGGACATGGGGGCATGGGGGCATGGGGACATGGGGGCATGGGGGCATGGGGACATGGGGGCTTGAGGGCACGGGGGCATGGAGGCATGGGGACATGGGGGCTTGAGAGCACGGGGGCATGGAGGCCTGGGGACATGGGGGCATGGGGGCATGGGGACATGGGGGCATGGGGGCATGGGGACATGGGGGCTTGAGGGCACGGGGGCATGGAGGCATGGGGACATGGGGGCTTGAGAGCACGGGGGCATGGAGGCCTGGGGACATGGGGGCATGGGGGCATGGGGACATGGGGGCATGGGGGCATGGGGACATGGGGGCTTGAGGGCACGGGGGCATGGAGGCATGGGGACATGGGGGCTTGAGAGCACGGGGGCATGGAGGCCTGGGGACATGGGGGCATGGGGGCATGGGGACATGGGGGCATGGGGGCATGGGGACATGGGGGCTTGAGGGCACGGGGGCATGGAGGCATGGGGACATGGGGGCTTGAGAGCACGGGGGCATGGAGGCATGGGGACATGGGGGCTTGAGAGCACGGGGGCATGGGGGCATGGGGACATGGGGGCATGGGGGCATGGGGACATGGGGGCTTGAGGGCACGGGGGCATGGAGGCATGGGGACATGGGGGCATGGGGACATGGGGGCATGGGGGCATGCGGGCATGGGGGCATGGGAATGGGAAGTGCCTTGCGGCCGTGCCAACCTGAAAGTTAGAGTCCCTGATTAAAAAAAAAACAGCCAGTTGCGACGATGCAAGGACAGAATCAGAATGTACAGAAACAAACGCCGGAGTCAATCCGGAATTTAAAAGGAGAAAGAACTCAGGAGGCAAGGGTTCGAAGGTAGCGGCAGCAGCGCACCGTGTGCGGGGAGCTGTCGGAGCGCCAGGAGCCCGGACACGCCGTCAGCAGCCACCCGGTGCAGCGCGGGCGCGTCGACCACCTCCAGAGGCGTTCGCTGATCGGCAGGCGCGGAGATTCGCGACGAGGGCTCGGGTGAACGAGCCGACGGAGGCGGGCCGTCGATGAGGAGCCCGTCGCCGTATATGATGACCGCACGATGCGGGCGATCGGCCATTGGGGATGTGGATGTTGTGTTGCTGCCAGTTGAGTGCACGGATGCGGATGCTCTGCCTGCGTCTGCACCAAGTGCCGCTGCCTGCGTCTAAGTAGCGCTGCTGCTGCTTGTGACGGTGTGGGTTGAGATTTTAGGTGGCGACGCAAGTGCAGTGGCGCTGGATGCCTCCGGAGGATAATCGTAAGCGCTGAAAATGTTTACATCCTGAATTCAGGGAAGGCAAATTCAGGGGCAGAGACAGGGTAGTTGTGGGGATGCATACGCGGTAGTAGTAGAATTATTTAGCTCCATTTGATAACTAAATATTGGGTATCTACATTTTTAAGGGTGAAGGTCTTGAGAGGGCTCCATATAAAAAAGATTGACATTCTGTTCTTACACGGCAGTATAGTGAAAAATACTCAACCAAGGTGCAACAAAGGTGTCTCAGATGTAGTTTCTTATTTGATCGGTGCATGCATACATGTCTTATACGGGAGCTCGACATGCAATGATGTGTATAAGCTTCTGTTGCACTTGCATTATATACTAATGAATAATAAAATAGAATACTGTAGATATATCTCAAAGGGCAGTGGTGCCTATGGATTATGAGGCATCTATGGTGTAAAAGGGTTGTGGTTCTTGTTCATGGAATAATGTCCCATTATAGGTAAGAAATAGTAGTAGTGAGGTACACTCCAACTCCCATACGGTTCTCTGCTTTGCTTGCCACGAACGCAGTCAATCACGCAAACTCCAAAGGCTGACCTGGTTGGTCCACAGCCATTGGATTGACGAGTACAGCACAACACAACGCAATGCACGGTGGCGTAAAGACCAGCCTGATGAACCAGTGGCACGATTCTATGTTTGTCCAATCGAAAGGTGAAATGTCGTCGCGCTCACCGCTCTTCGCGCCAACTTGAAAGCGCGGAACTCTGACACATAGTCAGAAACCCCGAGATTTACATTTGGGAACAAGTTGTCTGGTCGCACACCCCCGATTTCCGGGCCTCCCAAGGCGTTGACGCAATATCCATGCCACGTAGTTCAAAAACCGTCGCAAACTCCAACGGCTGCAGGAGACATGCGAAATCGCGATTCCTTGTGATTTCGCCCACGCCCACTCTGCCAGCGTGCGTCTCGCTGATATTTTCGCATGCTGTTGTCCCACGTGGGGCTGGAGTCTGCGACGATGTGATCACTTCCGCGCAAGGAGAGTAGGTGCGCTTTGCGACGATCCCGCCCTGTGACCAGAATTGCCAATAACGCGCAGCGACCCTCTGCCACCACCACTCACCCAGGCACCCGCCAATCGCAGACACCCAGATTGATCCAATCCTGAAGGGCACTCCCAGCAGCAGCACAGTCTGGTGGAATCTGAGATCCCCTCCATCTGATAAAGGTGGCTCATTTTCACTTCTCAACCCAGCCTAGAGCTTCACACACCCGTCTCCCTGCTAAGTCTGGTGTAATCAGCCATCTTTTCTCTACCTACGTTTTTCCATCATCAACATGAGGGAAATTCTTCACATCCAGGGTGGCCAGTGCGGCAATCAGATTGGTGCCAAGTTCTGGGAGGTCATCTGCGAGGAGCATGGCATCGACCCTCTGGGTAACTACAAGGGAGACTCCGCGCTGCAGCTGGAGCGCGTGAATGTGTACTACAACGAGGCCAGCGGTGGTCGCTATGTCCCTCGTGCCATTCTTATGGTAAATGCTGAATCTTGTTGACACCGCCATTTTGAATATGTGGTTGCTGGAATTTTCTCCTGACAATTTTATTTTTCCTCTTCCAGGATCTGGAGCCTGGTGTGATGGACAGTGTTCGCTCTGGTCCATATGGGAAGGTTTTCCGTCCTGACAACTTCGTGTTCGGCCAATCCGGTGCCGGCAATAACTGGGCCAAAGGACACTACACTGAGGGTGCCGAGTTGATCGATTCCGTTCTCGATGTCGTCCGCAAGGAAGCTGAGAACTGTGATTGCCTTCAAGGTACAAACTTTATATGACAGCCATCGGATAAGAAAGTTTTAACATTTTCCTTCTGAGAATCTGTTTCACCATCACTAACTACGTTCTTTAACGTCCTCATGCAGGCTTCCAAGTGTGTCACTCCCTCGGTGGTGGTACGGGATCTGGAATGGGTACCCTCCTCATTTCCAAGATCCGGGAGGAGTACCCTGATCGCATGATGCTAACATTTTCTGTCTTCCCATCGCCGAAGGTGTCTGACACAGTTGTGGAGCCTTACAATGCCACTCTGTCCGTGCACCAGCTCGTCGAGAACGCTGACGAGTGCATGGTCCTCGACAATGAGGCTCTTTATGACATTTGCTTCCGCACTCTCAAGCTCGCTAACCCCAGCTGTAAGTTGCTGGCATGTCGGTTACCAGCAAGTTCCGCCACAACGTTATCTCACTTCGGTATTCTGACTTCCGTTTCGTTGTCTCGTGCAGTCGGTGACCTCAACCATCTTATTTCGGCTACGATGAGCGGTGTCACCTGCTGCCTGCGCTTCCCTGGCCAACTGAACTCTGACCTGCGCAAGCTTGCAGTGAACTTGATTCCCTTTCCCCGCCTCCACTTCTTCATGGTCGGCTTCGCTCCCCTGACCTCCCGCGGCTCTCAGCAGTACCGTGCTCTGACCGTCCCTGAGCTCACCCAGCAAATGTGGGACGCTAAGAACATGATGTGCGCCGCTGATCCCAGACACGGCCGTTACCTGACCGCGTCCGCCATGTTTCGCGGCAAGATGAGCACAAAGGAGGTTGACGAGCAGATGCTGAACGTGCAGAACAAGAACTCGTCATACTTCGTCGAGTGGATCCCCAACAATGTGAAGTCTTCCGTGTGCGATATTCCTCCCCGCGGCCTGAAGATGGCATCAACCTTCGTTGGCAACAGCACGAGCATCCAGGAGATGTTCAAGCGTGTGAGCGAGCAGTTCACTGCTATGTTCCGGCGCAAGGCTTTCTTGCATTGGTACACGGGTGAGGGCATGGACGAGATGGAATTCACCGAGGCGGAAAGCAACATGAACGACCTGGTGAGCGAGTACCAACAGTACCAGGAGGCCTGCGCTGAAGATGACAATGAGTATCTCGGCGAGGATGCGGAGGCAGCCATGTAGAGGATAGTCGACCTGAACGAGCAGCAAATACGAAGAATGAAGAACCCTTAGTGGCGTCAAACATTCCCCTTCCCGTACATGTGCATTGCTTAGGTATTCAGTACTGACATTTCCTTGGATAAGTGTTAGCAGCAATTTAGACATCGCAATGAATATACAAATAATTTCTTTAGTACCAGAGTACCCCCAGTGAAGATGCTGGTTAAAGCCAGGGTATCAAGTGCCGCAAGTATTTTGCAGTTGCTCAGACTCGGAAGAAGTTGATTGGAAGGCGAGGGGTGAAACAAAAAGTGAGGGAAAACGATGGTAGTAATCAGCCCAAAATTCGCAATGTCCACCCAACGTAACGAGGAAGTTTGGGAAACCGAACCGAACCAAACAATGTCCAAGCCGAGTCCGAATCTCCCCGTACCAGCAACCCAGAAACTGCAAACATGACCACACACGCTACTGGCAAAACCCAGGCGTGCCTGTTATGGTTCTTACCGCTGTCAAGAACCTACGCGGAATGCAGCCAGACACAATCAAGGAAGCGAGAAAGACTCTGAGCGTCCTCACGCCAACCGCGACGCCAAGGGCGAGTCACGATAGGACATCGTGGCAGATCGTGCAAGCCGAACCCTAACAGGTTTAGCAATCTGGTGCATTTCGCAGCTTGGTTAGAACCGTACTTATTATCACGCAGGGTAAATAGCTAAAACAAACTCCCAGGCGCGACGGTGAGCAAGTAGGCCTAAAGGACCCGGGGAATACCGTGATACCCCGGTCGAAAGCGTGAGACATGATGAGGCGAGCGCGACGGATTCCGCCTACGAAAAAGCGAAGATCGCTTGGGGCACATGGTACACTGATACTGGACGCGGATTGCGCGAAGGGAGGAATTGCGCGGAACGCGAAGGGGAATGCAGGCACACTACAGCTGTGATCCCGAGGGGTAGGACGAGTTGCGCGACGAACACCGCACGCGCCCCGCAAACCCTGCATCATATTTCGAGCGTCCCAGCCGCACATCATCCCCTGCCCCCCTTCACCCCCCCTCTCCAGACGGTGTCGCGGGCGGCTCGGAACCGCCCACACAACCTTCTTTGACCATCATGCCACGGTGGGACCATGCGAGGCCTCGACCCACGTCGTACCCTCACACCACCGACTCTGCGAATGATGCCAGGTGAGCCGCAAATACTGCGCATTCGGACAAAGGTGTAGGAGCTTGCGAGCACGGGAGCCGAGGCAAGCAGGTACCCGCAAAACCGGACACGGAAATCTTGGAGGTACCACCCTGCCTGCCCCCCTCACGGCCCTTTGGGAAGCGAATTCCTGCCCTTTCCCGTTCCTCACAGCTCCCTCACTAATGACACTCAGGCCTCCTCTCTTCCCCCACGGCTCCCCCCCGCTTTCCCCCGTCTGCCCCCGCTTTCCCCACGTCTGCCCCCGCTTTCCCCACGTCTGCCCCCGCTTTCCCCACGTCTCCCCCCGCTTTCCCCCCGACTCCCCCCCGCTTTCCCCACGAATCCCCCCCTCTTTCCCCCCGGCTTCCCCTCCCTTCCACCTCAGCCCCCCCTCCCAGTCTCTCAGCCCCACCTCACTAACCTCTCAGATCCGCCTCTATATTCCTCAAAGCTCCAACACTCTGCCCCCCCGACGTCACCTCTATCTCCCCTCAGCCCCCCCTCTCTCACGCCACTTGGCTCCCCCTCTCTTCCCCCATTGCAGGTCTCTTCCCGACGCGGGTCCCTTGCTGGCGTTCCTCTCTTACCCCCCCAGCTTCCCCCCCTGCTTGACCCCCAAAGCGCTTTAACGACGCTCGTCTGCGCTCCACATTCCCCACCCCAGCTCCCCTTCCTGCTCATCCCTCTCCCCCATTCCCCACCCCAGCTCCCCTTCCTGCTCATCCCTCTCCCCCATTCCCCACCCCAGCTCCCCTTCCTGCTCATCCCTCTCCCCCATTCCCCACCCCAGCTCCCCTTCCTGCTCATCCCTCTCCCCCATTCCCCACCCCAGCTCCCCTTCCTGCTCATCCCTCTCCCCCATTCCCCACCCCAGCTCCCCTTCCTGCTCATCCCTCTCCCCCATTCCCCACCCCAGCTCCCCTT